CATGAAACAGATATTTTGTTCATCATCATAAATCAAAACTAAACCAAACTCACTTCTATTGAGTCGATGTCAACTCTTAGCGACACCACAAGGCAGGTAGAACTGCCCCTGTGGATTTCTGTGACTGTAACACTCATTACAGGAATAGAAAGCCCTGTCTTTCTCCCTTGGAGAGGCTGGTGGTTTTTGAACTGCTGACCTTGCGATTAGCAGCCCTATACATGACTATGATGCCGCCAAGATGCCATTATCATTATAGAGATGAGAAAACTAAGCTTCACGAGAACTAGGTGCCTTGCCAGAATTTATGCAACTATTAAGCAACAGAGAAAGGAATTGATATCAGATCTGTCTGACTCCCAAGCACACAGGACTATTTTCTTTACACCTCCATGAGAAATTAAATATCCTAAGATTTCCCTCTTACATGCCTGTTCACTTCAAAATTTGTCACTGAAAGACAAAGTCAGGGTGTTTTAAGCGAATTTTCAGTGAGAAACTAAACCAAAACCAGACTCATTGCCATCGAGTTAATTCTGGCTCTTAGTGAGTGACCTTGTAGGACAGGGTAGAACTGCCCTTTTGGGTGTGTGAGACTGTAGAGCTACAGGATTAGAAAGCCTGGTCTTTCTCCCACTTAGTGACTGGTGGTTTCGAACTGCAGACCTTGCAGTTAGTAACCCAACTTGTAACCACTACACCACCAGGCTCCATTCACTGGGTGCAGTTGTTTATAAACACTTTTTTTAAATGTTCCTGCTCATTTGCCTAATGATTCCTTCTCTGAAAATGTATGACACCTGGTTACCCAGGCCCTGTGCTATACAGACAACAGGGACTTTAGACTCTGTTCTTTGGAGGCACACAACATCTTTCATAGGCCGCCCCAGGACTAGACGTGGAAAACCACTCAGTGAACTGGCCTTTACCCCATACTCACCCATACCCTCAGACTTAAGGCTGAACCTCCCTCGTGTGAGAAGCAGCAGCTGGCTGCTATCCCAAGGACATAGAACTGTTGGACATTGGACTTTGGTTCAGATCTCTTGCCTTGAGGGGGCCCAATGAATGGTGGCCCAGTACTACCATATACTTACTACTTTAATGCCCTCCTTGCTTTATCATGACATATATTATTCTGGTAGGTGTGGCTCTGCCATTGGGAATGATTACTATTGCAAGTTTGTCCTAAATCAACCCCATTGTTTGTGTGAATAGTGTCCAGTCACAA